TCTATTGCATGTGGTTTGGTGGTAAGTGATAGCTGACTGCAGAGGCAAATAGACAATTTGGTGGAAATTAGTTAGCCTTTTTTACACATGAGCTAGCCAATAACTAAAATGCATATAAAGAGGAGATATGGTCCCAAGGATAATAAGGTTAGAATAAAATTGTAATTAGTAAAAATTTATTAGTTATTTTTAAAAATATAAATATTGGGCATATGTTTTTGCGCATCACGTATAAAAAAGATTAGTAATAATAAGAAGAGGAAAAAGGATAAAGTTGTCATTTGTTTTTGGAATTTCAATTCCGTTGGTTGTGGAATGGCAATTATGATGAGGCTTAGGATTTGCAAATTCATGGTTAGAGGGAATAAAATTGCAATTTCTTTCAACCACACAATAGAATTGTAAATTCCATAGAATTTGGTAGAAATAGAATTGTAATTCCTTCATACCAAACATCCTATAAAATGCTTTTTAAGTGATAGATCGAGTAATGGTTAGAATCTCACCACAAATCGTTCAGAGATGAGTATCACCAATTTAGTATGAGATTCGGGTGGAAGAACATGAGAAGAATATTTTTAAGTACCATTTCATATTTTTTTGTCGAAATCCCATAACAACATGCTCCCAAGTTTCTATACAATTACTAGTTATCACACGTGCATTGTGCGAATAATTCAATGCCCAATGTTTATTTTTAAATTAGTGTTTTAGAATTTATCAAAGTATCATTCAGTTTCCTGTCGTATATCAATTTAAGATTATCAATTTTTTCATAAAAGTAAATATTTCAAAAATTCATAAGTATAACTTAACAGAAATAATGTTGGATTAATTGGTGCAATAGCAATTTTAGAGGGAAGCATCATCACTGGACAATACCCAAGCATAGTTTTTGCCACATAAAATCCTATTAATTGGCGTGACTCATGCTTCATTTTGTTGCTATTTTCGCCAGAAATGAATTATTGATTTGATATAATCACATGTTGTGATCCACTACAATTTTAGTGTTTTGGTGCAGTGCACCTTAAAAAAACAAAACCAAATATTCTTTCCGCCAAAAGACAATGATAATTGACATAGTTTCTCATAATATGTTGAATATATACTTTGACCCTGTTTGGTTTAATAGTTAGCTTATCAGCCAATAAACTTTTTGTAACAACTTATTATTGCTCTAAAGTGCTAAAATTCAAAAAGCTACTCAAAGTAGCTTTTCTTATCAGCTTTTTGATAAAGTATTTTGCATATAATCAACTATCAGCTAACAGCTAATTTACCAAACACTATTCTACAATCAGCTAATGTTTTCAACCAGTCAAACCCACTAACCAATCAACTAACATGTATTTACCAAATACCCCTTTTAAATTAGGTGTGTCCCTTCATCAATGCCCAATGCGTGATTTTAATTAATTGACCAAATTCCATGTCAAATTGTATATTGTACGTATTTTTTAATACACTCTAATATATTCATAGTATGTATATGTTTAACACTTATGTCAATTTTGGTTGGGATGGAGTTCGAACCTAAGACCTTCATTATGAAAATCAATAAGTTAAGAATAAGAAATAGTTAACAAAATATTCCGTTACTAAAGTTTACGCTGACGGAATACAAGGGTATTTAAGAAAAATAAATAATATAATAGATGGTAAAATAGAAAAAAAAAATACTAAAATCAAAATAATATGAACCATTCATTTCAACAAACAATTACACCAACGGCTTAACTTTATTGGCTCTTATTAGGTTTGTATATATATTATACCTCTTTCCTCTTGTTGGTGGCAAATTAATGTGAATCACATGCCAAAACGACGTCGTTGAATTTTATGAGTTAGAATAATGTACATTATGTGTTAGAATAATGTATTTTATGTGTGGTAGAATAATGTACATTATATGTTAGAATAATGAAACTTTTTGGGTAATATAATGTATTTTTATGAATTAAAATAATGTACATTATGCTTAAAATAATTAGCATTATGAATTATAAAAATGTACATTACAGCAAGTCACGTGAAAAAGAATTACATGAAACGATGTCGTTTTCGGACTGAACCACGATCCATGCAATAACTATTGCTTGTTGATTAACTGGGCCATTTATAAGGAATGGCCCGATCCATGACATCTTAGTTTCCCAGCCCAATTTGATCGAAGCAGCTAATAAGACCAAAGTGTCAGCTTGAGCAAATTATATTGTCCACCGTGGTGCATAATCGATTATGCGTCGAACTTCAAAACGACGTCGTTTTGTTTAATGAAAAGAAACGGTACCCGTTTCGCGTTGTTTCGTAAAAAGTAACTCTGTTATTCACTTTCATTTTGTATATACTGCAGTTTCAGTTCAACACAACTACAGTTTCATTTCGATATAACTATAGCTTCATTCGACATTTATACACTCAAATATGTGAAAATGTTATTTAATTTTATTTTAAATACACTATAGTTTCATTAAAACACAACTACATGATTATTTCGATATAATTACAGCTTCATTGCACAATACACTCAAATATGTGAAATGTTATTCAGTTTCATTTTATATACTATACACTCAGTTTCATTTCACTACAACTACAATATCATTTTGATATAACTGCAGTTTCATTCGATAATATATAAAATAATACGTGAGGTAGTGTCGGTTTTGACATACTATTGTGTCAGTTTAGATATAGGGTAGTTTCAGTTGGTAATTAACACACCAAAAAATACACTCTCCGTTTATATAACGGCACGTCATTTCTTTACTTTAAGAAACGGTGTCGTTTTGACCGCGATCCATGATATAACTACCGGTCAGCTTGTTCTCCGATCCCAAGTTCCAACCATTCGAGGAAAAGATAAAAGTAAAAAAAAATCTCCTTCCCGCCAACTATTCTAACGGTTCCAACTTCCAAGATTCCCATTTTACCCTGCTACCGAAACTAACTACTCTATAAAGGAGCCGGAGGCCAGAGCTCCTATTTTTTAGTTACGCTCTGATATCTTCCTTCCACACAGAACTTCACTCCATCTTCGTCTCTGCGGATTCTGCAAAATGCCTCTCCCCGCCGTGATACTCCGTGCAGTAGCCGCTGTGAAAGCATATTTCCGTCGGTGCTTCAACTTCGAAAACTTAACGGACTTGGATGCTTTCTCTCAGGACACTTTCAATATCCTCGCCGAAGTAATATACTTTGCTTTCTCTCTGATCTCTTTTTATGTATACGTTTGCAACTATGCATATACGCAGTTTACATTTATGTCAGTTGTATAATTGTATATATTCTCTTTCTGTTTTTTGACCTCTAATTTGCTGAGTATATATATTTCAAGACAGAGTTTCTTTCAGAAGATATTACGGTTTTGAACTTTGAATTTGTGGAATCTATACTGATTATGCACAAATGCTGCTCGAGAAAATGTTGATAAGCATGAAGTAAAATAATAGTTAGACAATGTGTAATTTCTTCAATGTTGATTGTTTGTGAATTTGTGGAAAATATATTATTGTAGCAGTTATATATGTGATTATTGAATGCTATTCTGTATTTTTTTTCTCCATGTTCTTGAGGATTAGTATTTGATGGTTACTGTTTGTGTTTCTTTCCTTTTATTGTTGATTAATTCTTGAATTCATTTAAAGTGTTTATATCATTCATTTGTGTCTGCTAATTAATTACTCTGATCCGTTCTTTATGCAGAATCCGCAGAGACGAAGAAAGAGCGAAGTTCTGTGTGGAAGGAAGATATCAGAGCGTAACTGAAAAATAGGAGCTCTGGCCTCCGGCTCCTTTATAGAGTAGTTAGTTTCGGTAGCAGGGTAAAATGGGAATCTTGGAAGTTAGAACCGTTAGTATAGTTGGCGGGAAGGAGATTTTTTTTTTTTTTTTTTTCGAATGGTTGGAACTTGGGATCAGAGAACAAGCTGACCGGTCGTTATATCATGGATCGGCCCATTCCTTATAAATGGCCCAGTTAATCAACAAGCAATAGTTATTGCATGGACCGTGGTTCAGTCCGAAAACGACTTTGTTTCATGCAATTCTTTTTCATGTGGCTCGCTGTAATGTATATTTTTATAATTCATAATGTTAATTATTTTACGCATAATGTACTTATTTTAATTTATAAAAATATATTATCTTACCCAAAAGTTTCATTATTCTAACATATAATGTACATTATTCTACCACACATAAAGTACATTATTCTAACACATAATGTACATTATTCTAACTCATAAAATTCGACGACGTCATTTTGGCATGCGGTTCACACTAATTGTTTGTTGAAATGAATGGTTCATATTATTCTGATTTTAGTATTATTATTATTTTTTCTATTTTACCATCTATTATATTATTTATTTTTCTTAAATACCCTTTGTATTCCGTCAGTGTAAACTTTAGTAATGAAATATTCTGTTAATAACTATTTCTTATTCTTAACTTACTCATCGATTTTCATAATGAAGGTGTTAGGTTCGAACTCCATCCCAACCAAAATTGACATAAGTAATGAAATATTCTGTTAATAACTATTTTCATTTATGGAAGCAGCTCCCCCTACAAAAACAGTATCCAGTCAATGTATTCAATGAAACTGTACAACACCAAGAACTTTTAACACATTCAATGATAAAAGATAATTTGGAAATCCATATTCTCTGCTACTTATAAATATGGGAATGATCTGAAAAGGCAACTTCATCTAGTGTACACTACACTACTGCAAAAGGAGTAAATTGTCGAGAACGTACATGATGGAGAGCTCTGCTTTAGCAAGTGCTTCATTTACGAGTGCAACATCACTTACTCGAAGGGGGTTAAGTCATCTCCCGAAAAGTTACATTCTCCCGCCATCAGACCGCCCCAACTGCACCCAAAACACCAACTCCTCTAACTTGCCAATCATCGATCTTTCCTCCATGCAGCATCCTCTGCTTCGCTCTCGGGTGGTTCAGGAAGTACGTCTGGCCTGCAAGGAACTAGGTTTCTTCCAGGTACATACAATATCAACAAATGTCCATGTTACACTGTAGTGTAACACGGATGAGAGTAAGAGAACTATCGCTTCTCCTAGAAAGAAAAAAGTCCGAGCATTTTATCTATCATTCATGTCAATGCATGCAATTTTAGATGATTATTTGAGTAGTATGTTCTAATTTCTCATAAGTGCCATGATGGAATACTACACGCACCAAGAAAGGCAGGAATTTGAGCTCATTGTGTAAAAGTCACATACTTTATGCATGTAGTCATGTAGATGTGAGAATTAGTTTCATCCAGAGTGTAAGGCAACTTACTAACTAGATCTGCACATAAATTATGACATGTATGAAGCATAAAGCACATAAATATACTGTATGCATGGCAGGTCATTAACCATGAAATCCCACCTTTGGTCATGAATGGTGCCTTAGATGCTGCAAATGCATTCTTTAATTTGCCAAGCGAAGATAAAATGCAGCTGATGTCTGATAATGTTCACGAGCCTGTGAGATATGGCACCAGCCTAAATCATGTCAACGACAAAGTTCACTTTTGGAGAGACTTCCTCAAACACTACTGCAATCCAATCTCAGCTTGGATTGATTTGTGCCCTTCAAACCCTCCATGTTACAAGTAATTATATATTCTTTCATTTTCTTTAACTATCCTTCATTACGAAATTAGATAGATATACGAGGAAAACATTTTTCAGTATATATTTCCTTGTGCAGGGAGCAAATAGGGAACTACGCAAAAGCAGTGCATGAATTGCAAAAGAAGCTAATGGAGCTAATATTCGAAAGTTTAGGGTTACATCCCACTTACTTAAAAGAAGACATTGAAGAAGGATCAGAAGTCATGGCTGTTAACTACTACCCAGCATGTCCTGAACCGGAACTTGCATTAGGCTTGCCACCGCACACAGATTACAGCTTGCTATCAATCACACTTCAGAACCAACAGGGGCTGCAAATCCTGGACCGGGATAAAAATTGGCATTCAATACCAGTTATAGAAGGGGGCTTAATTGTTCAACTGGGAGATCAAATGGAAGTACTGAGCAATGGTCAATACAAGGCTGTCATCCACAGAGCAACAGTCAACTCAGAGAAGTGTCGAATTTCAATTGCTAGCCTGCACAGTCTAGCTCTGGAGAAAAAGGTAGGACCAGCACCAAAGCTTGTGGATAAGCAGAACCCATTATCCTATAAAGAAGGCGGCTTTGGTGATTTTCTCAACTTCATTTCTGGCAATGACATCACAGCAGCAAGGTTCATAGACACATTAAAAATAAATAAATGAAGCAGTCAAATGATGAATGGCAACCTCCAACCAGACTACCAGAGGGACAGTTTCTTAAACTATCACTTCTACCTTTGACTTCTCATTCTCTACAATTTGGACATGGACCTACACTTTCACCTCTTCAATCCATGCTGTTTGACATATACAAAACTAATATTACTAGGCTACTCATCAACTTCTCTTAATGTAACTCTGAAATAATATAATAAAGGAAGATGCTCTTTATTAATATGTTTGGGGGTAATAAAGACTTTATTTGAACTTACACTCGAGCAATTTTGTCTCTTATGTGTCACCAATATTGGTTAGACACTTAGACACCTAGCATCCTTTTGAATCACATAATTAATTTTGTTAATCCTAGACAGGTACCCACACATGCAACTTGCCAGACAGTTGAACTTATAGAAGTATGAAACTTGCCACGGTGAATAGTTAAATTGTCGCTTTATTACATCAACCCCAATATTAACATGCACAAAATGCACACCAATCATTACTATGCCACTAGAAAAGATTTAAAAAAACAAACAAACAAACAAAAACAATAGAGGGAATGGGTGAATACTTAATCCAAATTATGCTGTCATCCTTGGAGGCTGCAGATCATATTTTCTCTCTGGGAGTGTCACTCCATTTCATAGTAGTTTTCTCGAGTTACACAGTTATAAGAGACTAGGGAGGATTTCTAAATATGATACAATAAGTGACTACATCATGAATTTGCTAAATCTGGCATCTACTGCAGCTAATTAAGCTAAATGAGGCGATGATTTCTTGTCTTGGAAGCATATACTCTGCTAAGTGTTCAGAGAGAAGAAGGGAGCTTACATTTTGAAGGCAACAGCAATAAAGCAGTTGCATTCAAGAATTGCTAGCACATAGATTCCATGATCACAAATTGCAACAACTGCAGAGCCATTGAGACCACCATTTACCAACTTAGCCAGAACTATTTTAATTTATTTAGCAAAAAAAAAAAAAAAAGGAAAAGGGGCAAATATTGCATACAGAGCAATGTTATCATTGATTTTGCTTAAAATCATCAGTAATAGCTGATTGCAATTAGTTTTGCTTCTTGTTATCAATATATAACTTATTCAAACAATTACTGAAACTTCACAATCGCTTAATATATCCTGATCATAAGCTGAAATTGAACAACTGCTTGGTGTGTGTGTGTTTGTGTCTGCATGTATATACTCAATGCTCCTATCTAACTATAATTTTCAACAATTTCTATCAATACCGTATTTAATTACGGGAAAATGCAAGCGCCCGATGCTGAGCTTCAATTAAACAATTTTTTTGTCGACCAAACACGATGATCACAAGATCAGCTATCGTAGATTTGATAATTATGAATTAAAGCAATTACATCTCGTCTAACTCTTTTTCTAGACATCAAATCGAAGAATCAGCACAGCAACTAAAATACACTGAAATTGATTTTTTTTTTTTTTTTTGGGGGGGGGGGGGGGGGGGGGGTGTTATTTATGGATATACCTAGCAAAAAGGGGGGAAATAGAAAGCTGAAACAGAATTACACTCCTAAATGGCTTAATTGCAGAAGAGATGAACTTACGAATAAAACCTGTTCTATGATGCATCTTCCTCGCACTCAGTTTCCCTCTTCCCTCCCTCCATTGACGTTGCGCTTTCTTTTGATCTTTTCTGTTTTTTTTTTTTGTTTTTTTTTTTTTTTCATTTTCAGTTGTTCCGTACTTCCGTACAGCGCTTATATTTTTAATTGATACGGAGTACTTGTTATATCATCGGGTTAACGTTTCTATTATATTATGTATCTTAATTTAAAAATTAAGGATTCGTGACCTCTTCCCTCACTGTCGCTGGTGAGACGAGATTTTTGATATAAAAAAATTAACTTTAACTTAAGTTGTTTATAGATGATGATGGGTTAAAAGTCAGAGGATTAATAGCCATATCAATTACTAAATTAATTACTCAATCAATTGGATTGGATATAACCGATATTAGCTTTGTTTGATAACATAGTTAGATTATCAATTAATTTTGACTTATTTGATCACTATTATAAATTTAAAAAAAAAAAAAAAAATACTCAAAGAAACATTTTCCAAACACTTTTTTACATATAATTTACCAAACATTTTTTTTACAATCAGTTAATACTATCAACTAGTCAAACACAATAACCCAATATTTACCAAACATTCTGTAATTAGGGTTGTTAACGAACCGAACATGAACGAATGGAGGTTGTTCGTGTTCGTGTTCGTGTGTTAAGGTTTTTAAAAATCTTATTCGTGTTCGTATGTTAAGCGTTCATTAGTATTCGTAAACACATTCACAAGCGTGTTCGTATGTTAAGCGTTCATTAGTATTCGCAAACACATTCACAAATGTGTTCGTATGTTAAGCGTTCATTAGTATTCGCAAACACATTCACATACGTGTTCGTTAACGTTTGCGAACACGTTCGTTCACGTTCATGAACGCTTAATAACCAAACATAGGCTTATGCTCATGATCACAATTCGTTCGTGAACAATAAATAATCTATGTTCGCAGACCATAACCAAAGAAACAATACAACACATTTTGTTCACGAGCTCATAGCAAACAAACCAACAACTGTTTATACTTTGTTTGTTTATGAACCGAGCTTAAATTTTATTCATTTATGTTCGTTTATATCTTATAAAAAAATAAGGCAGAAGTGTCAAATAGCCCCATCTACTATCGCGAAGTGCTCAATTTACCCCACGAACCAAAATATAGTGTAATTAGCCACACGAACCATCTAAATTTGTTCTAATAGCCTTTTTCGCAGGTAATGAGCCAGTTGCCTATGACGCTTCCCGGTTACGCTGAGGTGGCTTGTCTACGTGGCAATAATTAACAAAATTTTGATACAACTCATCAATATTTCCATACAACTCATCATTGACGTGAAATTAGGCATTCCCAAATTCCCAATTCGTGAAACCTAGCCCGACACCGACACTGGAGAAGGAGAAGCGTTGATTGATCTGACGACCTGCACCATTGACGACCTGCGTGTTGGAGTACCCCTCAACGACAATGGAGAAGCCAAAGTCGACACCATTGGTGGTGGACTACACGTCGACGCCATTGACAACCAACTAGGTAAGCTTTGCTTTGCTTTGAAATAAATAGACGAGCAAATGGTTTTGTTGATTTCTTGCTTTGTTGTCATGCTCTGAATATCTCAAAACAAATATACTATGCTTATTGTTCTGTGGTCCAGACAATATTAGAAAAGTTAAAGTGTTGTGGTCCTGCTATAGGGTTGTGGTCTGCTCTTTTTACAGTATTCGAAAAGTTAAAGTGTGTGATGTGGTCCTGCTATTGTGTATACAATGTCTTGTAAAGGTCTTGTGGGGGGTCCTACAAAACACTAGGCTTAAATTGTTTGTTTGTTGTGATTTTCAATTTCTGTATTTAATAATGGTGAGAACATGTGAAACAGATGACTTTTGTCTAGTTGTGATTTTTATACTGTGCATTTGCTTATTCTATTTCAGGATGTCAGATACTATTGAATTACTTATTCACCATGGTGGGAACTTTATAAAAACCCCTAGCCTTAAGTATGTTGGTGGAGAAGTAGAATCTGTAAAACTTGACCCAGACTTGGTATGCTATCCACATCTTATGAAGTACATAAAAGAGCAAAAATATGGAAACATTATATCACTAACATACAAATTACCTGAAGAATCTTTTAAGTGCTTGAAACTTTTAAATAATGATGCTAGCAGTATGCACTTAGTTGAGATTACTTTGAAGGGTAAGAGGTGTGAAATATATGTTGAACATGGGTTAGATGATCCAGATTTGGTTTCTATTTTGAGCTTACCTTGCCCTCAAACTGCAGAAACAGAAATAGAATATAGGGCTCCATCTGGGTGTTTGAGTGATATTGAATTGGATTTTGATGGCTTTGAATTTGGAAATGAGGGTGGTGTTGGGGCAGAAAAAGGAGGGGAAGTAGGATCAGACTTTGAAACTGAAGGTGGGGCAGATAGTGATGGAGAAACTGATGGTGGACCTTATAGTGATGAAGAAACAGATGGTGGGGCTAATGATGGTCCTGATGATGGGGCAGAAACTATGGGTAGGCAACTTGAAACTACTACTGTTGATGAGCATGAAGGAAATGGATCTGTTTACTATGATTCTGATGATCCTCCTACCATTCAAGAAGAGAATGACAATGATGTTGGTGAAGAGGTCCAATCCAAGATGATGAAATCTAGACATCCTATATATAATCCAAAGTCTGATCCACCTCATATTGAGTTAGGAATGTTGTTTGATGATAATGTGCAATTTAAAAATGCAATGATTAGTTATGCTGTACATAATAAAAGAGACATTTATTGGAAAAAAAATGAACATAAATATGTCAGGACTGAGTGTAAAGGAGAGGGCTGTCCATTCTATTGTAGTGCAGGGTGGGAAGATAGATACAAATGCTTTCAAGTAAAGTCAATTAATCTGGTCCATAGATGCAATTCAAAGTACAAGCTAAGGGTTGTGAGTCAAAAGTGGCTTGTAGATAAATTAGAGGACAAAGTCAGGAAGGATCCTTGCATTGGCTTTACTCAACTGAAGAATGACATAAGGTCTGATTTAAAGCTCAATATCTCCATAAGCATGGCTAGAAGGACTATCAAAGGAATTATAAAGAAACTAGATGCAGGATATGAAGGGCAATTTAAGAGACTAAGAGATTATGCTGAAGAATGTCTCAACTCAAATCCAGGTAGCACTGTTAAGATAGAAACAAATAGGGTTGTTCCAGATGCTCCATGTGTGTTTCAAAGAATATATGTTTGTTTTGCTGCTGTTAAAAAAGGGTTTGTAGAAGGCTGTAGGAAGGTGATTGGGTTAGATGGGTGTTTCTTAAAAGGTATGTTGAAGGGAGAGATTTTAACTGCGGTTGGTAGGGACGGAAACAACCAAATGTATCCTATTGCCTGGGCTGTTGTTGAGATAGAGAATAATTCTTCTTGGAGATGGTTTCTGAAGTTGTTGAAGGCCGATCTAGGGATGTGGGACACCACTGACTGGACAATTATGAGTGATCAACAAAAGGTATGCAATTTAGTTTTTGTACATGTTTATTTACTGCTTTATTTACTGGGATTGCATTGGTATTTTTGCACTGATTACTTCTAAAATAACATGTGGCTACATTCATATTTGATAGTTAATGGTAATTTGCCAATTTGGACATGTTTAACACTAGGATTGCATTAGTAATTTGCCAATTTGGATTATTAAAATTTCAAATTGACAGTTCATTTAAGGCTTTCCTATAGTTTCACAGTTTGCCAATTTGGTGTATTAAAATTCCAATTTGGATTATTAATAGACTTGAATTCCAAGTTACTTACATGTTGCCAATTTAGCTTATTCACATCTAAATGAACTGTCATTGGATATTAGCTATTTAAAACCCTTTTTAATATGCATTTTCTGCAAATCCAACTCAAATAGAGTGTTTACATATACTTATCTTATAGGAAAACCATGAATTTCAAGTTACTAGAAACTAACATGTAGCTGCATTCATAAAATAAAATTCCAAGTTTCCAGAAACTATCCTAACAGATTGCTTATTTGTTGCAGGGTCTTAGTACTATTATTGCAGAATTATTTCCTGGGATTGAGCACAGGAATTGTGCAAGGCATGTTCATGCTAACTGGAGTAAAAGTCATAGAGGCAAGGTGATGAAAAAGCATTTCTGGCAATGTGCTAAGGCTACCACAGAAGCACAACTACAGGAAGAACTCAAAGCATTAGAAAAGATAGACTTGAATGCAAGGAAAGACTTAGACAAATACCCAATGAAGATGTGGTGTAAAGCCTTTTTCAGGACAGAGGTGAAGTGTGACATAGTGGACAACAACCTTTCAGAAGCCTTCAACAACACACTCTTAAAGGCTAGGTCTAAACCCATAGTTTCAATGTTAGAGGATATTAGAGTCGGAGTGATGAAGAGGATTGCTGCGAAGAAGTCATCAGTTAAAAAGTGGAATGGCCAATTTGGGTCATTTATTATGAAGAAATTAAATGACAACATTGTTGAAAGTGTTGGTTGGGAGGTGGATTTTAATGGTGATGATGGATATGAGATAAAGAAGGGGAAGCATCAATATAAGGTGAGCATAGAAAGGAGAACTTGTTCTTGCAGATCTTGGGATCTCACTGGAATCCCATGTTCACATGCAGTTTGTGCTATTTTTGACAAAGGAAGACAACCAGAAGAGTTTGTGCATGATTGGTACTCTAAGGATGTGTATATAAAAACATATGCACATGTGATTCAACCCTTAAATGGTGAGATTTTTTGGCCAAATACTCAAAGTGATAAGATGCATGCACCTGCTCCAAAGAAGATGACTGGAAGGCCTAAGAAAAAAAGAAAGCAAGAAGAATCAGAACCTAGGCCTTCACAATCCACTACTCATTTATCTAGGAAGGGGAGAGTGATGACTTGTGCACAGTGTAAGCAAAAGGGACACAACAAACGTTATTGTCCTAATCAACCAAGTCAGACTGCAAGTTCAAGTGCAAGAGGTGGGCATTCTGGTGCAGCAAGAGGTGGAAGGCAAGTTGGGCTTGGTATATTTACAAACCCACACACTGGAGAAGTCACACTAAATGTAAGGAATGATGTTCACTACTTTACTTGCCCTATTGTTGTGTTACTTTGGAAATAATTAACTTCTGGTTTTATTTTTGTATAGCGTGGACTACCAAGTCAACGAGTGATATATAAACCTAGAAGGGGGAGGACCAATACACCAAGCACAAGTGGAGGGAATTAACTCTGTTGTAGTTCTCTGTTGGCAGTGTAGCTATGTTTTGGATATGGCTTGTAACTATGTTATTTTTTATTTTTGCAAGTCTAACTGTTTCTGTAGACAAGCCAGTAGATGTTTGAATTACCATTTGAACTCTGTTTTAGAAGTGTAGATGTTTGGCAGTAATGAACTCTGTTTAGCAGTGTAGATGCTTGGCAGTAATGAACTCTGTTTAGCAGTGTAGATGCTTGGCAGTAATGAACTCTTTTTGGCAGTAAATGAACTATGTTGGCAGAATTTTGTGTTCATTATTTGGCAGTAAATGAGCTATGCAATTTTGCAATGAATTGGGCAGAAACTCAGTGAATGTTTGTGTGAATTTGGCAATCAATTTTGCAGTGAATTTGGCAATGAATTGGGCAGAAACTAAGTGAATGTATGTGTGAATGGTAATGAATTCTGCAGTGAATTTTGTTTCATTTTAACCATTTTAACCAATTAAATTGGTATTGGCAGAATTTTGCTTCATTTTAACATAAACACAGCTGAATTTTACTTCATTTTACCCATTTTAACCAAATGAACAAACATGAATCCCTGGCAGTAATGAAAAAAAATGCTCAATGTTTGGCTAAGGCAATAACACAATTACCATTGGCACAATGTTATTAGCATTCATACAAAAACCATACATGCCATTCGATTGAATTCTAAAACTAAAACAATTAAAAATCATACAGACTCTTTACAGAAACTAACACAATTAACAAACAAATCAAAAACCACTTTCTCTTTACAGCTTTCTTCTCCTTCAATTTCGTCCGCTGCAATTCACTCTCAAACATTGCACGTAGAATACCTATTTCAGTCATCAAATCAGCCCTCATGCTTGCAACCAATTTCTTCAATTCCTCAATTCCCTCTGCATTTTCAGTTTCTTTCCAAACAAAAAAACCACACCCAACACCCTCCTGAGCAAAATTTAAAACAATTTTTTCTCATTAAAAAAAATTAACAACAATCTATAAAATTAAGGATATAAACGCACCTTCCACCTTTGACATCCATAAAATTTCTTCCCAGAATCTCGGGTTGTGCAAATTGGAGCCTTCAATCCACACCTACAGTACATAGGGGGATCATACTCCAAATTAGGTCGCACGCTAGATGAAGCCGAAGATGATGACATGACGAGAATTCGCACACCCAAATCTGTTGACGAAGCCCAGACGCGCTTGGAGATTGAAGAGTGAACGACGTGGTAACCTGCGATTCAGGTCGTCTGAACGGAGAAGATTGAGGTCAGGAAGATTGAAGAGTGAACGGGCTGATTTGTAGGGATTGAGGTCGTGGAGATGATTCAGGTCTTATAAACTGAGAAGAAAGAATGACGTGTTCTACTAGGGTTTGAGCTAAATAATATATTCCATGTCATTAAGAATGTTTTCCACGTCAGAAGAATGGAAAGGCAACTGGCTTGTAACCTGCGAAAAAGGCTATTAGAACAAATTTAGATGGTTCATGTGGCTAATTACACTATATTTTGGTTCGTGGGGTAAATTGAGCACTTCGCGATAGTAGATGGGGCTATTTGACACTTCTGCCAAAAAATAATAATACTCGCTAATAAAAAAAAGAAGGAAGGAGGAAGAAGAAAGAACAAAAAGAGAAGGCACTGAGATTTTAACGCCATTTTACGTGCCCGCATGACTACCTTCAATGCTCTGTGCGCCTGTGACTCTCTTCCCAACCTCTATCCAACATTTGCATCTAAATCACTCGCGCATAGTTTAGATTCCGGTCGTTTCTCGCCGGAAAATACCTCAGTGTCCGACTGATCTCATCGTCTTCAGATCGCAATGAATCCCGATTAGTACGTTATAGTATTATCTCGTTCATTCTCTACTGTTTTTTTGCGTAATATCAATTATCATCATCATCAAATAGTTATATACTTCATTGTTGTTGTTATCATTGTTACTATCAATTTATCGTCACCATCATTATCAGTAGCTCTTTAATCTCTGCGTATATCAGGGATCGTCGCTATTGGTCTTGTCATTAACGAATTTATAACCCTATACTTTAGAATATTTGTAAGCTGAAATCCAATTTTTGTTTAATTATATTCATTCAATTTTGTTGTATTTGAGAAAAAAAAAATACTTCTTAGTAAAATTGTCCAGACAGTTCATTTTCGGCTTGTGAAAGTAAAACCTGAGAAAATGCAGTGTTTTTGTTTGACCTTTTGCAAGTTATTTGATCTGTGAAACTGATTGGTGCCATTTCTTACAGCGATTATCTTTTCAAACTTTTGCTAATTGGAGATTCTGGAGTTGGGAAGTCATGTCTCCTTTTGAGGTTTGCTGTAAGTTGATAGGATGCTATTTCCATGTTTGCCATTCTCTTCCAATATAGTATACTATGCAGATGAAACAAGTAGAGGATTCATACTGAGCTTGCTTCTTCCAACTTGCTTCTTGCTTCTTCCAACTTCCAATATTCCCATTTTACCCTGCTACCGGAACTAACTACTCTATAAAGGAGCCGGAGGCCAGAGCTCCTATTTTTCAGTTACGCTCTGATATCTTCCTTCCACACAGAACTTCGCTCCTTCTTCGTCTCTGCAGATTCTGCAAAATGCCTCTCCCCGCCGTGATACTCCGTGCAGTAGCCGCTGTTAAAGCATATTTCCGTCGGTGCTTCAACTTCGAAAACTTAACGGACTTGGATGCTTTCTCTCAGGACACTTTCAATATCCTCGCCGAAGTAATATACTTTGATTTCTCTCTGATCTCTTTTTATGTATACGTTTGCAACTATGCATATACGCAGTTTACATTTATGTCAGTTGTATACTTGTATATATATTCTCTTTCTGTTTTTTGACCTCTAATTTGCTGAGTATATATATTTCAAGACAGAGTTTCTTTCAGAAGAGATTCTGGTTTTGAACTTTGAATTTTTGGAATCTATACTGATTATGCACAAATGCTGCTCGAGAAAATGTTGATAAGCATGAAGTAAAATAATAGTTAGACAATGTGTAATTTCTTCAATGTTGATTGTTTGTGAATTTGTGGAAAATATATTATTGTAGCAGTTATATATATGATTATTGAATGCTATTCTGTATTTTTTTTTCTCCATGTTCTTGAGGATTAATATTTGATGGTTACTGTTTGTGTTTCTTTCCTTTTATTGTTGATTAATTCTTGAATTCATTTAAAGTGTTTATATCATTCATTTTGTGTCTGCTAATTAATTACTCCGATCCTTTCTTTATGCCTTGTTGGAAACACATACAGCTCTACTCTACACTTTTCCTTGTTAGTACATCCATGACTGCTGGACTATGGCTCCAATCTGAGGGTGACGTTGGGGTGCCCTTAACTGTTGTTGGAATTTCTGGAAGCATGTTTTGTCTTTTTGCCACGCCTCGAGATTACGAGGTATATAATGGATCAAGATCATCTTCTTATTATCTTTTTTGTTTCTAGTGAATGCAAGAAGGCCACTCTTATTGTAATCTTATAGTGACCAAGTTAATAACCTGACCAATTTGGTTAGAACATGCTTCTTATCTAATTTGTAGGCTTCTATGTACCTACTATCTTTGGGCCTTTGGACACTCATATATACTATCTTTTCTGTTTCCAATATATATATATATATATATATATATAGGTGTTCAGGAGTTTCTCTCTGTATGCTGCTGCATTTTTTATGGGGGCTTCTTGGTTGCCTTGCACTCAACCTTACCTCAACTTCTTTGATCCAAAGTAAAGATTTGAATCCTAAACATGAATTAGACTTTAAACTTGAATGAATTTTTGTATCTAAAATCTGATGTCATTTTTAATTTGCAGTTACATCATTGCTGTTCTTTTGGGTAATACTCTGTGCGTGGTCGTTTTCCGGACAATAACCAGGTGGGTAAGAGGACGAGAAAGATTTGCCATTTATTCCTATGCCGCATTTTACTCTACTATACTATCAATGGTATGGACGGGCTACGCTTTCTACTACTTCAATGTCTACTTGGTTTTAGCGGTAAGCATCATATGAGCTAGGATCTATATATAGCATTTCAATTTTGTGTATGTTGTCCATTATATATATTCTTAGCGTGTTTCCATTGTGTTGTGGCAGACGTTTTTGTACTTGGTACTCATCTTGGTGTACGTGATGCTATATAGCCAAGAAATGGCGGCGAGAGCTGCTGCGGGGCAAGAAATCGACTCTGTGAATTTCAGTATGAGATTCTTCACTGACGCTCCGGGGATTTGGATCTACTCTCTCGTTCTCCTTGTGAGTAGATTGCTTCATCTTGAGAGTTTAGCTATGGGTTTCGTGGCTAGATCTGATGTTTTACGTATATATACATCCATGCAGTTTAGGTTCGCGGACGAGGAAGGATTGAAGGGTTGGGAACTACTAGCAATGCTTAATCAAGCAATAGCGGAACGCAGACAAGCAATGAAGCAAGGACCGAAAACGGGGAAAAAGGGGAAACGAAAGGGGAGAAAAAACTAAAGATTTCATACTTTAGATACTATATATATATACCACTCCTTACAATTGAGATTACATACTTCCGTTCCGTTCCCATTCACTCTCAATACTGATACTAATTTGCCTTTTTAGTTTCTCTCATTATTCAACCTAAAAAATATATTTCTCTTATCACTCTACACAAAATATGCATTTAACCCTTATTCTATGTTTGGTAAAAGATTGGCCTATAAGTCAAGTTTGACTTATTTGACCAATACAAATTTACCAAACATAATCATCTAACAACCATTTACCAAACAAACCCATAATCAAACCATCAAACCATTTAGAATTGAACAACACCCTTTGCGTAAACAAGGTTAATCAAATAGCTTTATGTTTACTTATTTCTTAAATCAAATTACAAAATTAATCCACAATATGTAAATTTAAAAAATCACACATAATTAATAATCAAGAAAACAAATGTATATATAGCCGCGCGCGCACTGCCTCTCGCCTAGCTCATCAATGCCAACAAGGCTCCCAAGGCAAGCGAAAACCCAAAGATGCCGCCGGAGCTAACCACTGCACCGTTGGGAGAGCTTTTTCCGGCGGGGGTGGGAGTGCTGGGAGGAGAATCAGAGTCGGAGGGGGTGGAGGGTGTGGTGCCGGAGGAGCGAGGAGAACCACCGGCGGGGGTGGAGGAGCTGCCGGACTGGACATTGATCGCCAACTTCATACCGGTTTGGCAGTGGCCAAAACTGGGGCACATGAAGTACATCGGACCGGCCTTGCTTAGCTTAATGGTTGTTTTCCCGTCGGTGAAAGATCGCAAGGCGTTTCCGGCGTTACAGTTATCATAGTCGTCTTTGCTCACCTCGTCTACGCCGTGGCTTCCGCCATAGTTGAACACTGTTTCATGAAATTGATAGTGAATATTCATAAAAACTCCAACTTAATAATTCAACTAATTATATATATATATATATATATATATATATATATATATATTTGAGATCCTTAGTCCGTAAATGACCATAAGGTAAACCAAAAAAGCAAGAAAACTAATTTTCATTAAATCAATTTTCGAGTCAACTCTTAAATAGAAATTTTGTGTCTGTATAGCAATGTTGAAAAAATAGCTAGGCGCCGCGGGCGCTTAAGAGGACGACCCCCTAGCACCTAGGTGCCGATTAATCGGTGTCTATACCTAATTTTTGCAACTCTGTTGTATAGTATAACATCTTGCATGTATCCCAAGACTAATTCAAATCCAAATCGAGTTAAGTAATTTGACTCTTACTTGAAAAATGTCTAGTTCAGAGTTTTTTTCCTGAGTCTGTTAAGATTTATATAGAAATGTAATATTTATAAGGAGAAGTGTAATATTTATTAAAAAAATTTACCCGGTCTCATTAATAAGAAGCTATGATCTAAGACGGTCTTATAGGAGGTTTTGTCTTGGTATGAATATTAAGAAAGATATAATCGTTAGGTTTATAGTACATAATAAAAATGTGATGAAATAAACTTTACCAAGACTATCGCCAACGGTGAACGTTTCACTGGCTGCCCATGTGGTGTAATCGCCGGACTGGCTCCACCCGCCGTCGCCACCGACGATGTGGTCCTTGGCGAAAGCTGCCGGAGAAGCCAGCAGGAGGAAGAGAAGAACAAAAGTTGCCATTGCCATATATATCTCTAAAGATGTTGTGATTAGTGTATATATGAAATGTTGAACTTAAGGATGATGCGTAGACGAAATTATATAGTTATATATAGGCAGGAGAAGATAATTAAGGAATGATTAAATTAAAGACGGCTAGCTGTAACTAAAGATTAATAATTTCCCAATTATTATGATGGGTTTTAATGATAATATTATATGCATGCATGGCCACCTAATGTTTGAACATGCTTAACGTTTGTCCATCGAAAACGTTGACTTTTCGTAGCGTATAATCATAAGCTCATAATATGTCGAGATTCCATTTTTCTTGCATTTCAAGCTTCAATTTTGGGTGACTCGGCTCGGATAGGTCTATCTTAAGTTCACAAAATAGATGTTGGTGAGTGGTCTTTTTTAAATTTACTTTTGTTAGACAACGGGATATCTTGAAGGGCTCTAAGTATAGGTGACATCCCTTTAAGTCCGTACCATACTCAGATTGATACATTTCTCACTGAACTGGTCCAATTAAGAGATAAAGTGCTCATCAAATTGATTTTTCCATACAAGAGGGGATTTGAACTTCTAACATCTCTTAAGAGATAAAAGTGCAGTGCACAATCACTCACGCTAACCAAGCTGCTTAATTGGTGAATGGTTTTTATTTATCTAGATCGTATGTGTTGAGCATATAATATATATATAAATATAAATGTGCAATCTAACTATCAGCTTAGGTTTTTAGTTAAAATGAAACATATTTTTCAATTTGATAGTAAAGTCATACCAAAAGTTATGAGTTCAAATCTTTGTGTTTCACGATGTAGCTATTTTTGTGTGTTTAGTTGTTGTAGTTTCTATTTTTTAATTTTAAATTTCAATTCACCATAAAATGTCATAAGTGTGAGTGGCAATTCACGAATATAATATTTTTTTTCCCTAAATTAGTGCCACACCTAATGCTTAATTTAGATGATATAAAAATTAGGATCATGGCAGAGAGTGGGTATGGCAATTGATATTTTTGGTTTTATATATTAATTGTTAGTTACAATATTCTTCCTCTTAATTAGAAAATGATTGTCACGTCTTGTATTTAAATCAAATCAACTTGGTTTAGTTGAATTGTTGAGAATCCTTGCCTAACCACTTCATCCCTATCAGAGGAGAGAAACATCCGGGGAGGACCGAATAACTAAATGGGAAAAACATGATTTTTATACTTAAAAGTTGTGTAAATTTTTTTGTCAAAATCTTTGTAATCGAATTAATTACATATAGTTTTTCAAAAAAAAAAAAAAAGATTTATCTAATGCAGACATTTAGACAGTAGTTGCAGGTCTCTCCCGTCATCAAAGAGAAAGAGACATGCAATATCATGAAAGTCACGAGTTTAATTCTTACCAACACATTTTTGAATAAGGCCGTCACATAATATTTTATTAATACAGTTTATTTATCATATGCGATTGGGGTGCTATTGCATCCAATGCGTATATTCGGGTAGTAGCTGTAGATTTATCACGTTATATAAAATAAATATATTAAGAAAGAAAAACAGAAGAAGAAAGGAGAAACATGCAATAATGTAGTCACACGTATATAGTCAATGGACGGGTGATATTCTTTTAATAATGTTAGTTTTCCTACATTATTTGACAATTGGCAACCAGATCAGAGTAATGGTCAACTGTCGTTAACGAGTAGAATAATCCATGTTCACGTTAAAAAACAAAAAACAAAACAAAAACAAAAACAAAAAACACACACACACAATTTATAAAAGTAGGTAAATAGTACCAAAATTATATATATCAAATAGTTGAGATGAAATTTAAGGGGTGTTTGGTTGGATGGAGAACAATTTTTATGGAAAAGGTTTTTTTAAAAGTGGAGAAAAATGTATGTTAATATATGTTGTTTGGTTCATGAAATTCTTGAAAGTTGAGGAAAGCAAATTTTGTACACGAATGGTATTTTGTTTTCGGCAAGAATTGGAAAGAAAATAGAACATGGTTGGACTATTATATCCTCAGAAAAAGTTCTTAATTACATAGGTATTGTTGTGAAATTAGATGAATCCTCGCTTGAACATTGTATCGTTTACAACTCAAGAATACAATATAGAATAAATAGAAAGAGACAAGAACACAGAGAATCATCAAATCTTTTATTAATCATCCTTCAGTATAATATATACATATACAAAGTTCTAGTATAATTACAATACTACAAAAGGATGAAGAGGTATTATCATAATATAATACCTATAGTGATGTTCACATATATTTATTCACAATATGTATAATTTCAAATAGAGTTAATACCCACTTTGGTCCTCCGACTATTAGCTAATACTCGATTTAGTCACAAAGTATTAAAAGTACCCAATTTAGTCCTCTAACTTTTAAAATCACACCCAATATGGTCCTCCGTTACAATTTTCGTCTATCCACCGTTATTTTGAGGGCAATGAAGTCAATTTACTTGGTCCAAACCTGTTTCTTCCTTTGGTTAACGTCGTTCGAGGCCCCTCCAGCGATCGAGCCACTGCATGGACAATCAGAGGATGCTATTGGAGATGCTGAGCATAGTGGACTTGTCTCTACTTCGCTCCATGAGATTGAGCCTACTCTATTGGGAGCATGGTGTCACTTCATTTAAGGAAGGAATGTGCTTTATCAACTAAAATGACACTTATGCCCTTCAAAATAACGGTGGATAAATGACAATTCTAATGGAGGATCACATTGGGTACCATTTTAAAAGTTAGAGGACTAAATTGGGTACTTTTAATACTTTGGGACTAAATCGTGTATTAGCTAATAGTCGGAGGACTAAAATGGGTATTAAGTATATTAAAAATGTAGTTTTATTTATGGTTCATATAGACATGATCCATGAAATAATGATTGGAGAATATCGAAGTCAATCATTATGTTGTGGAACCGTGCCCACTTTGCAAGGTGGGCACGGTTTCAAACGACGCCGTTTTCATGTGGTTGAGTAACGGTGTTGTTAGTGGCACCGTTATACTCCATAATTTATATACTGTAGATTCATAATTTCTATACTGCAGATTCATAATTTCTATACCGTAGATTCATAATTTAAATACAGTAGATTCATAATTTCTATACTGCAGATTCATAATATCTGTACTGTAGATTCATAATTTCTAAACTGTGTAGTTATCAAATTATGAAAATATAGTTCTGTGATTTGTGAATACAGAGTTCAACAATTGGGAATATGAACATCGAAAATTATGAACATATAGCTCTATAATTATGAACATATATTTATAAAATTATGAACATATGATTCTATCACATGTTTACAAACCTAATACTGTAGATTCATAATTTAGATAAAGTAGTTTCATAATTTCTAAACTGTGTGATTGCGAAGAGAGAAATACCGTTTGATTTTTTTTTTTTTAATTAGAACAACATCATTTTCAACGACCAGGACTATGTGGTCTAATGGTATCCGGGTTGGACTTCCATTTGGAAGGTTGTGAGTTCAAGCCTCAGTAGAGACGTTATTGGCTCTTTGTGTTTCAATAGGTTGAGAAAGTATATGAACAGATACTACAATGTAATAGAGCTAGTAACATTCAAAAAAAAATATCGTTTTCAACGGAAACAGTACTGTTGTAAAACTGTGCCCACCTTACAAGGTGGGCGTGGGTATGGTTCCACATCATAATTCTCATGGACTTTTTCCGAGCTTGGAGGCCCCTTGGGCCCAACAAGAGGGTGACATTATCCAGTTCGCTAAGAAATGTATAAATAATAATAATAATAATAATAATAATAATAATAATAATAATAATAATAATAATGGGTACTCTAACGTAATTATCAATTTAACATTTTAATTAAAGTAAGCACATCTTTCAATTTGACCGTCATGTTTGATAAAATAATTAGTCTATTAGTCAATTTTGACTTATTTAATTACTATTAACTGTTTAATTTGGTTAAACAATCAAATTAGTGTTTAATTAATTAGCTTTTTGTAACAACTTATTACCCCAAAATACTAAAATTTAAAAAACTGTTCAAAGTAACTTTTTCAATAAGCTTTTGAGAAAGTCATCTTGTATGTAATCAGTTAACAGCTAACAACTATTTACCAAACACTTTTTTACAATAAGCTAATGCTATCAAATAGTCAAACTCATAACCCAATAAGCTAACAGTTATCAGTTATCAGCTAACAATCATTTACCAATTAAACACCCATTATATCCATGAGTCACATACTCACATGTGACTCATGAGAGCATAATTTACTCACACGAGTGAGGAGACGTGTTAAACATTAATATATAAAAAATAATAATAAACGTGTAGTCCATTAATTATTAACTTAGATTTTTAATTTGTTGTAATGCAACATATACTTTAAGAATAGGTCGGGTAGTAGCTATAAAATATATTACATAAGGTAGGTTACAACATACATCATATCCTCAGCTCGATCTATATATTTTAGAGTTTAATCTTTATGATTTGAAACTAGTTCTAGAAGGACGACCAACATTGTATGAAGTGGAATGAATGATGAGGTTGTTGTGCAATGTATATAGCCCAATACGTGTCAATGACTGCCTTTAGATATTAAGATGGTTAGTTTATTGGGAGACTTCTCGCATGTGCCGCCTGATGATCCCATGCCTTTAATTAATTTATTTATTAAAGTTCACAAAGCAGTTTCTTGGAAGTATGTGTGTATCATACTATGTGCGATTATGCAAAGCCAAGGACGGGTGAGTTTCGCGTGATAGTCGTGTAACGTAGTGAGGTAAATTTCGTGTGTTAGTCGTGTAAGGTGTAATATGATGTAATGATTCAAATGATGGGTAGATTTCGCGTGATAGTTGTGTAATATAGTGAAGTAAATTTCGTGTGCTAGTCGTGTAAGGTGTAATGTAATATAATGATTCAAATGGATTGATAAGACCAAATGTCAACATAAATAAATACTCTCTAATATTTTAAATTTGAAAACAGACGAGTTACTAACTTTTGATCAGGCCAAATGTCAACATAAATAAATACTCTTTAATATTTTAAATTTAAAAACGGACGAGTTACTAACTTTTTTGATCAGACCAAATGTCAACATAAATAAATACTTTCTAATATTTTAAATTTAAAAACGGACAAGTTACTAACTTTTGATTAGACCAAATGTCAACATAAATAAATACTCTCTAATATTTTAAATTTAAAAACAGACGAGTTACTAACTTTTTACCTTTTTTTTTTTGTTACTTTTACTAACTCGATCTGTTATAATGTAGTATTTCATGACCTCCATTCAGGAGAGTCACTTGTTAGACACTTAGATAATTAAGTATTGCCACTAGACTACAAAGTCATTGTCACTTAAAGGGAAATTCTATTTACACCACCCTATTTGCTATTTACACCATCTAGTTAATAAGTGTAGTAGCTTTATAGGTGTGCAAATACAAAAGTGCTATTTGCACCACCTCATTAAATGTAGTCAAACATTAATATTTACTATTTATTTTTATTTAATAATCAAACTACTAATTTAAAAAAAAAAAAGGTGAGATGGCGATGGCTGCCTTCTCACCGGAGAAGGCAACCCAGGCAGCCTTCTACCTAGGTTGCCTTCTCCGGTGAGAAGACAACCCTGAATTTACAGCATATAAATTATGAATCTACCCCAGTGTTCACCATGTGCATGGTGAACACGTATCCACAAAATAATTTGCCCTCTAGATACATACATATACAATCGTTATAGCGTGGATCAGGGTCCACGTATAGTGCATTATGGACCATGGTCCTGTACGACATCGTTTTGAACTTTAATTTTAATGGAGATCGTTTGTTGTTCAGTTCACGTTACAGAGGTGGTTGTTTTTTTTTTTTTTTTTACTGGAAAGTATGTGTATGTATATCGTGTTATTGTTTATGTACATCATGTTACGAAATTCTGTATCTTAAGCGTAAAAATTTTGTATTTAAAATTGATTAGTAGTTGTATAACACAAAACATATTGTGTATCTTATTTTACGAATTTATGTCTTATATTATGTAATTATGTGTCTATATGACATAAATTATTTATATAAATCAGATATGAGAATAAGTAAAATAGAAAACATGTGTATGTATATCATGTTATGCATTTTTGTACATCATGTTATGAAATTCTGTATCGTATGCATAAAGATTATGTATCTGAAATTGATTAGTAGTTGTATAACACAAAACATATTTTGTCTTATTTTACGAATTTATGTCTTGTATGGATTATGTAATTATATGCCTATATAACATAAATTATTTACATAAAGCAGATATGAGAAAAATAGAAAACATGTGTGTATGTCGTGTTATGCGTTTTTGTACATTATGTTACGAAATTTTGTACATTTAAGCGTAAGAATTTTGTACATAAGAATTCTGTACATAGAATAAATTAAAATTTTGTGTTGAAACATGAAAAACGTGAAGTTACGGAATCTGTTAAAACTTAAATATCAAACAACATCGTTTTGATTCAGGGCCCACAATGCTACGTGGACCCTGCTCAACGATATAAATTGCCCATACATATATACATTGAACTCTCTTCATTTCTAAGCCAAATGTCCAAAAAAACAACACGCTTACAAGTTACAAACAATACCCTTTTCCGTTTTCGGTAATCGCATCATTGTTTTTGTCGCTTTTAGCAAGGATTCAATGCTCCGAGCAGCGGCTGCTCGTCCGCGAATTCATCATGTCCAGTAATCATTAAATGCACTGTCTAGTGTCTACCAAATATATGAATCTGTGACTGTGTGTTCCACAGAAATGGAAATTTGATAAGAGCATCCACACCAAAGCATAATAGGGAGATAATAATACATCAATATGCACTTCAACAGATGGGAAGCAAGGATAATAGCAAAAATAATCCTCCTGCAAATGCCAAGATAATGGCAGAAAAAAGAAAACAAAAAAAAAATCAGCGCGCTTTAGCGCGTTTCGCGCAGACTCCTGCAAAAAGCCGGGCGCGTGCGTTGGACGTGCCCGAAGACGCGTCAGGCGCGTCTGTTTACCTTCTTTTTTTCTGTTTACCTTCTTTTTTTATTTTAAAAATTTCAATTTTGGTTTTTTTTTTTTCTCTCCCCTCCCACACTCTCTTTCCTAATCACTCTTACATTATCCCCAATTCTCCCCAACTGATGTGGATGCTCTAAGCCAGCCGAGCACAAACTGAAAACCTTTCAGATTCACTTTTAAGTTATACAAGGAGCATGAGACATAAGTGTAGATAGACACTATACAATTTTATGGCACCAAGTTGTTCCCTTATGTGGGAGGTTATGGGTTCGAGTCTCAGTAAAGACGGACTATTGATTCTTTGTGCATCAGTAAGTTGATAAAGTAGTTATAAACAGATATTGCATTGTAACAGGGTCAGTAGTACTAAAAAGAAAATAGTACTATAAATAATTTAAAAATGCTAGAATCCCAAATAATTTGATGCAAATGTTGTCTCAAAAGAGGGGTTTCATCTATGAATTAAACAATGTTACCACAAATTACTGAGACGAAGATACCCACATTTGGGACATGTGGCAATACTAGCGCTAAAGCACTAGAGTAACCTCAATAGTTAAAGATTTTTATGGGTTTTTTGCAAGCCATGTAGAGAGAAGCAAGTGAGAAAGTGAGAAGAGGAAAATAAATTCTTAAAAAAAAAAAAACAAAAAAACAAAAAAAAACATTACGCACCTTGGCGCGGATTGAATTTGCATGGATTTACGCGTACATGGAAATCTGAATGTACGGAGACCGGATAGCTCTGATATATACTCAAAAGTCCAGTTGAATTTGCATGTTGCCTCTGACCCAGATTTCCATTCAGATTCCAGTTCGTGCGGCGGCTTGCGGGTCCCACCGTTGCCCTCAGCCGTGATTTCCCGTTTCCCATCCTTCAAGTAGCATTATCATATACTATTTTCATTTATGGAAGCAGCTCCCCCTACAAAAACAGTATCCAGTCAATGTATTAAAAGATAATTTGGAAATCCATATTCTCTGCTGCTTATAAATATGGGAATGATCTGAAAAGCCAACTTCATCTAGTGTACACTACACTACTGCAAAAGGAGTAAATTGTCGAGAACGTACATGATGGAGAGCTCTGCTTTAGCAAGTGCTTCATTTACGAGTGCAACATCACTTACTCGAAGGGGGTTAAGTCATCTCCCGAAAAGTTACATTCTCCCGCCATCAGACCGCCCCAACTGCACCCAAAACACCAACTCCTCTAACTTGCCAATCATCGATCTTTCCTCCTTGCAGCATCCTCTGCTTCGCTCTCGGGTGATTCAGGAAGTACGTCTGGCCTGCAAGGAACTAGGTTTCTTCCAGGTACATACAATATAATCAAATGTCCATGTTACACTGTAGTGTAACATGGATGAGAGTAAGAGAACTATCGCTTCTCCTAGAAAGAAAAAAGTCCGAGCATTTTATCTATCATTCATGTCAATGCATGCAATTTTAGATGATTATTTGAGGAGTAGTATGTTCTAATTTCTCATAAGTGCCATGATGGAATACTACAAGCACCAAGAAAGGCAGGAATTTGAGCTCATTGTGTAAAAGTCACATACTTTATGCATGTAGTCATGTAGATGTGAGAATTAGTTTCATCCAGAGTGTAAGGCAACTTACTAACTAGATCTGCACATAAATTATGACATGTATGAAGCATAAAGCACATAAATATACTGTATGCATGGCAGGTCATTAACCATGAAATCCCACCTTTGGTCATGAATGGTGCCTTAGATGCTGCAAATGCATTCTTTAATTTGCCAAGCGAAGATAAAATGCAGCTGATGTCTGATAATGTTCACGAGCCTGTGAGATATGGCACCAGCCTAAATCATGTCAACGACAAAGTTCACTTTTGGAGAGACTTCCTCAAACACTACTGCAATCCAATCTCAGCTTGGATTGATTTGTGGCCTTCAAACCCTCCATGTTACAAGTAATTATATATTCTTTCATTTTCTTTAACTATCCTTCATTAGGAAAACATTTTCAGTATATATTTCCTCGAATGTATAATTATCCTCAAGTTTTATCTTCAAGGGTGTATAATATAATATAAATTTGCTTGTGCAGGGAGCAAATAGGGAACTACGCAAAGGCAGTGCATGAATTGCAAAAGAAGCTAATGGAGCTAATATTCGAAAGTTTAGGGTTACATCCCACTTACTTAAAAGAAGACATTGAACAAGGATCAGAAGTCATGGCTGTTAACTACTATCCAGCATGTCCTGAACCGGAACTTGCATTAGGCTTGCCACCGCACACAGATTACAGCTTGCTATCAATCATACTTCAGAACCAACAGGGGCTGCAAATCCTGGACCAGGATAAAAATTGGCATTCAGTCCCAGTTATAGAAGGGGGCTTAATTGTTCAACTGGGAGATCAAATGGAAGTACTGAGCAATGGTCAATACAAGGCTGTCATCCACAGAGCAACAGTCAACTCAGAGAAGTGTCGAATTTCAATTGCTAGCCTGCACAGTCTAGCTCTGGAGAAAAAGGTAGGACCAGCACCGGAACTTGTGGACAAGCAGAACCCATTATCCTATAAAGAAGGCGGCTTCGGTGATTTTCTCAACTTCATTTCTGGCAATGACATCACAGCAGCAAGGTTCATAGACACATTAAAAATAAATAAATGAAGCAGTCAAATGATGAATGGCAACCTCCAACCAGACTACCAGAGGGACAGTTTCTTAAACTATCACTTCTACCTTTGACTTCTCATTCTCTACAATTTGGACATGGACCTACACTTTCACCTCTTCAATCCCTGATGTTTGACATATACACTAATATTACTAGGCTACTCATCAACTTCTCTTAATGTAACTCTGAAATAATATAATAAAGGAAGATGCTCTTTATTAATATGTTTGGGGGTAATAAAGACTTTATTTGAACTTACACTCGAGCAATTTTGTCTCTTATGTGTCACCAATATTGGTTAGACACCTAGCATCCTTTTGAATCACATAATTAATTTTGTTAATCCTTGACAGGTACCTACACATGCAACTTGCCAGACAGTTGAACTTATAGAAGTATGAAACTTGCCACGGTGAATAGTTAAATTGTCGCTTTATTACATCAACCCCAATATTAACATGCACAAAATGCACAACAATCATTACTATGCCACTAGAAAAGATTAAAAAAACAAACAAACAAACAAAAACAATAGAGGGAATGGGTGAATGCTTAATCCAAATTATGCTGTCATCCTTGGAAGCTGCAGATCATATTTGCTCTCTGGGAGTGTCACTCCATTTCATAGTAGTTTTCTCGAGTTACACAGTTATAAGAGATTAGGGAAGATTTCTAAATATAATACAATAAGTGACTACATCATGAATTTGCTAAATCTGGTATCTACTGCAGCTAATTGAGCTAAAGGAGGCGAGGATTTCTTGTCTTGGAAGCATATACTCTGCTAGGTGTTCAGAGAGAAGAAGGGAGCATACATTTTGAAGGCAACAGCCATAAAGCAGTTGCATTCAAGAATTGCTAGAACATAGATTCCATGATCACAAATTGCAACAACTGCAGAGCCATTGAGACCACCATTTACCAACTTAGCCAGAACTATTTTAATTTATTTAGGAAAAAAAAAAAAAGGAAAAGGGGCAAATATTGCATACAGAGCAATGTTATCATTGATTTTGCTTAAAATCATCAGTAATAGCTTATTGCAATTAGTTTTGCTTCTTGTTATCAATATATAACTTATTCAAACAATTACTGAAACTTCACAATCGCTTAATATATCCTGATCATAAGCTGAAATTGAACAACTGCTTGGTGTGTGTGTTTGTGTCTGTATGTATATACTCAATGCTCCTATCTAACTATAATTTTCAACAATTTCTATCAATACCGTATTTAATTACGGAAAAATGCAAGCTCCCGATGCTGAGCTTCAATTAAACAATTTTTTTTGTCGATCAATCACGATGATCACAAGATCAGCTATCATAGATTTGATAACTATGAATTAAAGCAATTACATCTCCTCTAACTCTTTTTCTAGACATCAAATTGAAGAATCAGCACAGCAACTAAAATACACTGAAATTGATTTTTTTTTTTTTTTTTTTGGGGGGGGGGGGGGGGGGGGGGGGGGGTGGTGGTGGTTATTTATGGATATACCTAGCAAAAAGGGGGGAAATAGAAAGCTGAAACAGAATTACACTCCTTAATAGCTTAATTGCAGAAGAGATGAACTTACGAATAAAACCTGTTCTATGACGCATCTTCCTCGCACTCAGTTTCCCTCTTCCCTCCCTCCATTGACGTTGCTTTCTTTTGATCTTTTCTATTTTTTTGTTTTTTTTTTCATTTTCAGTTGTTCCGTACTTCCGTACAGCGCTTATATTTTTAATAGATGATTGGTTAAAACCGAGTTTTTTCCACTTTTGGTCCCACGACTATAGTGGCATTGTCAGAATTAATCCACGACTTTTGAACCTTACAATTTTAGTTCATGATTATTGAATTTTTTGAAAAAATGGTCATTCCGGTCACTTTTCCGTCAAAATTTCACCGAAAAAAAAAAATTATTTTTAGCCGGGTTAAAATTGACATTTTACTTTTCTGATGTCTTCGGATGATCCGGCAGACGTGCTGGCTCCGCCTCCAATGCTGCTGCCGGATAACCCAACTAGTCCGGGGAACGCCACGGCCGCTCCGCCGCTTACTGACAGCCCTGCTTGCTACAGGAACTCCGCCGCCTGGGGCAGTAGTATGTAGCCCAGTAATATTGTATGTAATCAAATATCAATTTTTTTCTTTTAATTTTTTGAGATAAGTAAAATGTCAATTTTAACCCGGCTAAAAGTGAAAAAAAAAATTCGGTGAAATTTTGACTGAAAAGTGACCAGAAGGACCATTTTTGCAAAAAAATCAATAATCGTGGACTAAAATTGCAAGGTTCAAAAGTCGTGGATCAATTCTGTCAGTGCCACTATAGTCGTGGGACCAAAAGTGCAAAAAACTCGATTAAAAGCCGAAGGATTAATAGGCATATCAATTACTAAATTAATTACTCAACCAATTGGATTGGATATAACAGATATTGGTCTTGTTTGGTAACATAGTTAGATTATCAATTAATTTTAACTTATTTGACCATTATTATCTGTTTGACTTGATTAGGGTTTGATTATAGTTTATCATTCCAAAATGTTAAAAAAAAAATGCTCAAAGAAACATTTTCTAAACACTTTTTTACATATAATTTACCAAACATTTTTTTACAATCAGCTAATACTATCAACTAGTCAAACACAATAACCCAATATTTACCAAACATTCCGTAATTAGGGTTGTTAACGAACCGAACATGAACGAATGAAGGTTGTTCGTGTTCGTGTGTTAAGGTTTTTAAAAATCTTATTCGTGTTCGTATGTTAAGCGTTCATTAGTATTCGCAAACACATTCACAAACGCGTTCATATGTTAAGCGTTCATTAGTTTTCGCAAACACATTCACAAATGTGTTCATATGTTAAGCGTTCATTAGTATTCGCAAACGCATTCATATACGTGTTCGTTAACGTTTGCGAACACATTCGTTCACGTTCATGAACGCTTAATAACCAAACATAAACTTATGCTCATCATCACATGCAAATTCGTTCGTAAACAATAAATGATCTATGTTCGCGAACAATAACCAAAGAAACAACACAACACATACAAGTTTGTTCACGAGCTCATAGCAAACAAACCAACAACTGTTTATACTTTGTTTGTTTATGAACCGAGCTTTAAATTTTATTCATTTTTTAAAAAATTTTATTCATTTATGTTGGTTTGCCTTATAAAAAATAATAATACTCGGTAATAAAAAAGAAGGAAGGAGGAAGAAGAAAGAACAAAAAGAGAAGGCACTGAGATTTTAACGCCATTTTACGTGCCCCGCATGACTACCTTCAATGCTCTGTGCGCCTGTGACTATCTTCCCAACCTCCATCCAACATTTGCATCTAAATCACTCGCGCATAGTTTAGATTCCGGTCGTTTCTCGCCGGAAAATACCTCAGTGTCCGACTGATCTCATCGTCTTCAGATCGCAATGAATCCCGATTAGTACGTTATAGTATTATCTCGTTCATTCTCTACTGTTTTTTTACGTAATATCAATTATCATCATCATCAAATAGTTCTACACTTCATTTTTGTTGTTGTTGTTGTTATCATTGTTATTATTGTTACTATCAATTTATCATCACCATCATTATCAGTAGCTCTTTAATCTCTGGCTCTCTGCGTATATCAGGGATCGTCGCTATTTGTCTTGTCACTAACGAATTTATAACCCTATACTTTAGAATATTTGTAAGCTGAAATCCAATTTTTGTTTAATTATATTCATTCAATTTTGTTCTATTTGAGAAAAAAAAAAAAAAAAAAATACAGTACTTCGTAATAAAATTGTCCAGACAGTTCATTTTCGGCTTGTGAAAGTAAAACCTGAGAAAATGCAGTGTTTTTGTTTTACCTTTTGCAAGTTATTTGATCTGCAAAACTGATTGGTGCCATTTCTTACAGCGATTATCTTTTCAAACTTTTGCTAATTGGAGATTCTGGAGTTGGGAAGTCATGTCTCCTTTTGAGGTTTGCTGTAAGTTGATAGGACGCTATTTCCATGTTTGCCATTCTCTTCCAATATAGTATACTATGCAGATGAAACAAGTAGAGGATTCATACTGAGCTTGTGACAAATATACCAGATGCTTCTCTGTATTTCATTTCCTTTTTCCTCTTCATGTTGGATGGTTGATAAAAGGGCATGGGTGCACCTGAGTTAACTATTGTGTTCCAATGAACATTTTATTTTGATTTGGGTTCCATCTTGGAAGACTGCCCTCTAGTACAGACGAAATGCAGGGAACTTTTATACTCCATACTGCTATTAGGGCATTCAAGCAGTGTTAAATGTTATGTGTTACTCCAGTTGATATCATTCTTCGAAATGCGTTTGGTCAGTGGAACCTGAAACTTTTATCTTGTGTCCTTCAGGATAATACATACTTGGATAGTTACATAAGCACCATTGGAGTCGACTTTGTAAGCACTGTTGAATTGTTGGAAGATATAATATTTACACAATGATCAGTCAGAATGGAAAAGAAGTCTCATAATGTATACTCCTTTTGTAGAAAATTCGTACAGTGGAGCAAGAAGGGAAGATAATTAAACTTCAGATTGTGAGATTTCTCAGCACTAGTTATTAAGTTCTTTCATTTGGCATTCACGGAAAAGTAATACTTAGAAGTCACCTGACTAGCATTGCTTGTTTTACAATATCTAGTGGGATACTGCTGGACAAGAACGGTTTAGGACTATCACTAGCAGCTACTATCGTGGAGCTCATGGTATAATTGTAAGTGACTGACCTGCCATTACTATTTCGAATTTTAACTTCCACTATTGGCTATTTTGTTGGCTTGCATTCTGCATTCTGCATTCTGCTCATGACTTTTTGAGATGAGGTGTCTGCTAGGTTGTATATGACGTGACGGACGAGGATAGCTTCAAGAACATCAAACAGTGGCTAAATGAAATTAATCGGTATGCTAGTGAAACTGTCAATAAACTTCTTGTTGGGAACAAATGTGACCTTGCATCTACAAGAGCCGTCTCATATGAGACAGCAAAGGTAAAAACAGCTTGCTATTGTAGACAATTGAGGATATGTTAAGGGTTAAGACAGTAGGTTTTTGCTTTCTTAATTGAGAATTTATTGATTTTGCTTGCTCACTGTACAGGCATTTGCTGATGAGATTGGTATTCCATTTATGGAAACCAGTGCAAAAGATGCTACCAATGTAGAGCAGGCTTTCATGGCCATGTCTTGTGCTATAAAGAATAGGTAGGAGATGAGTGTTAAATTAGGCATTTTCCTTATATAACTTTTGACAACCATATTTCAGAGAGAAAAAAAAAAAAAAGATTTCGCAAATTTGAGAAACTCAAATTGTGACTTGCATTTTTTTTTTTTTAAACCAAAAACTCAATTTTTCATTCTTTTGTCAAAGTTTTAAAAGTTTCCCATTATTGTTTGTTCCTCATATTTTTTACCATTTCAGTCAATTTCCCTAAGGTTTCACACTTTGATTCAGCCCCACCCCCTTCCCCTCCCAATTCCCCATAGCCCATAGGTTGCCATGAACAAATACAAATTCTTGAAACACAGGACCTTTTGTTGGTGAATCTGCAAATTAGTTTTCCAGAAGTTTGGCCTTTTGAACTTCTAAAACAATAAACTTTGAGCATTCAGAATAGAAACCTTAGAAATCTTTGGAACTTTCAAAGTGAGAAATCCAAAGTATTTGTCTCCAATCTCAAAACAAACATGGAATATAATGCTTGTCAATCCATCAATAGTTTATAGTGTGGGGTCGTGGATTAGGATCCACGTAACAAGATGGACTCTTGATACGTGTTTATTTTTAGCATACTGCAAGTTCATTTTAACTTGCAATACACTAAAAATGAATCTGCAGTATATTAAATTAGAAATGAATATGTATCAAAATATATTGAATATATGAAAAAAAACATGTATCAGGGTCCCCGATATAGTTTGTTGTCAACCCATTGTATGGTTTCATATATGAACAGGCAGAATGTGTGGTCTTAAAAGTATACATTGACAGCGGCTTCCCTACTTTGTCTTAATATGTTCCTTTGCAGCAAGGTTCTTTGATATGATATAACTGTGTTTGAACTCTAAAATGTTTTCCACAAATGCAGGATGGTAACCCAACCAGCAGCAAACATATCAAAGCCTGCAACGATCAATATCAAAGGACAGCCAGTTGTACAGAGCAGCGGTGGTTGCTGCTCTTAAGGACAGAACAACTAGGCAAAATGCAATGTTAACTCATCTATGTCAATTCCGTAGTTAATCATCGTGAAGACCAATGGCTGCTTAGATTTCAGTAATCTGTTTGAATGAGCTGAAGCAAGTTTATTGTAAGAGATAAGGGTTGCTTGAATTCAAATTAGTTGAATTATAGTGAAGTAACTATTCAGCACATAAATAACTATAGTCATAAAACGCAACCAAACTATTCTGTCACCTTCAATCTCATCTACCTAGCCTATACTTTGACATGGACCAAGTGAACCTTTCGGGCAACCAATCAGCAACTTGGAAGTGGTGACCCAGTGAATAGTGTATGATTCTCATACCTGAATGGTCACGAATTCTATTCTTGTCAACACCCTTGCAATCGAGGGTGTAGCACTATCCTTTCATATACATATATGGGCTATCACATCTGAATATTACCCAAAAAAAAAAAAAAAAAAAAAAAACCCTCAACATATATCTTAATTATACTTTGTGATCCCCCAAAACATACACACAACATGTACAAGAGAACAAAAGAATGATTGCAGCCTTTTATCGTTTCTGGTACTTCTTAATCCGCTCAAAGTCGTTCAATCTTACTTTGAGTAATTCGTACTCGTTCTGCATTTTGTGCAGCATCGTCTCCACCATTAGCATCTCTTCCTTGAGATGGTTAACTTGCTTATCTATATAAGCAAGTGTCTCAACCCCCCTCTCCCCCATTCCATTCATGCCACCCATATAATCGCCTTGAGAAATCACGTGGATCTGTTGAGGTCTACTTAATAGTACGATTATGCTCATCTGCAACAAGTACAACAGATAAGATGATGCATTAAAATTTTCTGTAAAATAAACCGAAACAGAAGCAAGGGAATGAAAACGAGAATCTAGGTTTCTGTTTCTTCTCAACATAATATTAGGCGAGAGTCGTGTGCCACAAAGTTTTTAATTGGCGGTTACCTACCACAACCTTCCTCTGTCACCATGTTTGAGACATATAGCAAACTCAGGGTGTGTTTGGAAACCAAGAAAATGACTTCTGAAAAATGTTTTCTGAAAATTAATCATTTTTCAGAAAACATTTTAATTTCTCGTGTTTGGTTGCAATTCAGAAATGTCTTGGTGTGTTTGGTTCATTTTCCAAAAAATAAATAGAATTGTATAATTAAACATTTTACGAAGTAATTGTTTTGTTTATAGTATAACATTTATAATAATAATAATAATAATAATATAATAAAATTTTTAAATATAATATAAAAAAGTAACTAAGAAGATATCAAAATAACTAACCAAAATCTTGTACAATTCAAAATAACAAATCAAAATAATCAAAGTTTCACAATTACGAACAAAGATTACTGATCAAAGTGTTGGTGTTGGTGGTGGTGGTGGTGGTATTATTTGTTATATAATAATAATAATAATAATAATAATAATAATTAGTGGTATAGTAGTGGTGGTATGGTGACGAACTGGCGGTGATGGTGGTTGTAGTGGTATAGTGGTGGTAATAATAATAATAATAATAATAATAATAATAATAATAATAATAATAATAAAACAATAATAATAATAATAATAATAAGTGGTGGTGACTACGGTGGTGTGGTGGAGGTGGCAACGACGGTGGTGGTGTGGTGGAGGTGGCAACGACGATGGTGGTGTGGTGGAGGTGGTGGTAGTCTAGTCGTGGACTGGTGGTGGTGGTGTGTAAATTGGAAAATGATTAACTTTCCCCGAAAAAGATGGAAGTCATTTTTCAAGAAAATAGGGTTATTTTCCTTTGACCAAAGAGTCATTTTCCAAGAAAATGAGGTTATTTTTCTTTGACCAAAGAATCATTTTCCTTTGACTTACATTTTCCACCCTTTACCAAACACTGAAAACCGGTCATTTTCCGAGTTTCCAAACACACGCTTAGGTGGGGTGGTTGTGCAGGAGAGAATTTATAACACACACTAAGTTACAAGAGAAATTGGGTTTACCTGCATTAGGAGGAGCACCACAGCAATTGCCACAATCAGGAGCACGTAGAAGTGGCTTTGAGATTTCAACAATGAAGAAAATCTTGAGCTCAAATCTCTAAAAAAGAATGGAACTGGTGCATTGTTGGTACACATTTCTTCTTGCAGGGAACCAACAGGATGCCGGTTCATATTATTCGAGTCCGGCAATGTCTGTGAGATTACTTCACCATTTCCACCGTCTGACTTCTCCGTGCATTCAACTGCTTCCACTGGCTTCTCCATCTCAACTTGACCATTTGGAATTAAATTAGCTGCATGATCACCAGCTGCGGGGAAAAAGAAAATAGTCAATGAAGTTTTGCCCTGTACCACTGAGAATACACCATCTTAAGCACCTACCTTCTTCCATCTCAAGCTTCCTTTGCTTCAAAAGTTCATGAGCCTGCCAAAGGAGGAGGAAAAGAAAGGCCCAAGAAAAACAATTGAGCAACAGTGAATGGTGAACCTGCCATAAGCATAAAAATACTAGAAGAAAAAAAAAAAAAGTAAATACCAGCTCAATCCAAATGGCATAAGCATCTCGACATTCGTCAACTGTGGACTGCACTATCTTTCCTGCAATCATTTTTACACATTTAAATAATAAGTACCCCAATAAGAATTTTTACTCATAAATTTAAATTTCACACACTAGAAAGTTCAGAAGAGAGCAGGCTCACAATGATAATACAAAACTATTGTTATAGATAAAATATAAAGTCATCCCCCAATTTCTTTTTTTTTTCAAATTTTGTCCTTCCACCTGTTTCCTACATTACAGGTTGATGAATTGAAGAGACTTCCAACCCTAAAAGTTGGATAGGAAAATCAAAGTTTGACTGAAGAAACCGACATCCTAGAAGTTTGATTGGATAATCAAAGTTCAAATGCCCTCAGATTTCCAGGGATAGATATATATAAAAGAACTGCACCTTTCCACATAGTTTTCTTGGAAAAGGCCACGTTTGTGTAAACCTTCAGAATGCAACCTTCACTATCATCTCTCTTAACATCCCAAAGACCCTGTGATGTTATGAAGCATATAACAAAGAATAAAATACAAAACATGTTTAGGACACATCCTTGCTTTGCCTTTACATTTTTTACTCTATTTGTTGATCTTTATGCTCAATCAAGAAATCAAGAAAAGACTACTAAAGTTGGGATACAGGAAGTATAGTTCAGAATTAAAAAATAATAATTGTAATAGTATCAATTTCTAAGTATTTGATGTGAAGTGTCAACTGCCAGGCAAACAGGTGATTTTGGATGGAATTACAGAAATATCAAATACACTATCAAATTTGCAACAAGATACAGCAATTACCTCCACTTGAAAATAATCTCCATACGGTACGTCAGTAATTTCTTGAGAAGTCTCAACCACAAGGTGACTGGATATTTATGGAAGAAAAATCAAAAGATGATGATGATAACACTAACATAACAACTATAAACCTAAATGTCAAATCTCTGTAGACACATGTATGATGTATGTACCAGTTTCTGTAAACTCGGTATTTCATAAGCTCCTGACAGCTGCCAAACTTTGCACCTAATCAAAGGCCAATATTTTTATCAAACAAAACTAGCATAAAAATTTACAGCTGCATTAGGTCATACTTATAACTAACACTTACCAAAATAAATTTTAATTGGATGTTGAAATGATACATTACGAGTGTGCCCAAATTTTTCATGAGGACGCCAGGGAGTGCATTTAAAATCTGGAAGAGGATTGTTAATAAAAGAAGCCACATAAGATGGTTCATTGGTCCATCAAAGTTTCAGCTCTAGAATAATCTGAGAAAACATGTGTACGAAATACAAATAATAGTTTTCTGGCTATAAACCATTGTGAACAGTACCTTTATCTCCACATTTTTTGTGAAATGACTCCTGGAAATCAGCGCCATCATCTGAAAAGAAGAGATCAAAGAACTCCTCCACCTTCACCTGTGTCATGTTAAGCAAAGCACAAGAGGACATCAATTACTGTTAAAGTCAATAATAAAAGGTGCACCAACTTGCTTAGGTTATATATAAACTCATTTCCATTTAGAGCACCAAAAGGAAAATTTTATTGTGAGAGGGAAGAGAGCTTATAATACCGGAAACTTTGATTCTGCAACCAATGTGTAGTCTTCTGGTACTGCAATCAGAACAGCCAGTTTTAAAATAGAGAAATGAAATTTGGAACAATGTTGAAATATGAAAAAATGAAAAATATCAGACCAGCGTATATGGAATATAGAAACAATATAAAAATGCAAAAATTAATGATACAACAGCATGTTCAATAGCATAATCCATGAAATAGAAGGGAAAGCTGATTTTGATAAATAACTAAGACATGGAATAAGAGCTTAAACGCAAGTACTACATCTATATCTAATGAACTAAGATGACATAAACTTTTGCTTTTAAATTTTCATTGAGTCAGGATCTCCATCCACAGCTCACATAGTCACATAGACCACTCTCCCCTCAGTATAAGAGCCAAACGACCTTTCCAATGTGAAATGGAAGTTAGTTTGATTTGCATGCGTGAAGGAGGGAAAACAGGTGCATAATCAGGAACAATATATAGCTGCATAGATTCACTTATCCAAATTTAAAATTTTAAAAGTGTTTTACTCATATATAGACAGTTAAGTGCAAACTAGATAGCCCTTTAGTTCATGCTACTTGAACACCTGAAAATGGTTATTACGAAAGCATGCATCTAAAAATTTAGTTTAGCAAGTGAAACTTACAAGTCATGCATCTATAAAATGGGTTTTTAAATTCCACTTAAACCACCAAAAAGAGGACCGAGGGAGGGGGTGGGGCGGGTTGCATAGGAAAATGAAGAATAATCGAAGGATCAAATGCCAAATAAAAAAATCTCTAGGATAGAGTCCATGGTTGATAAATGATAACCTAAATATGAATTTAACTAACCCTGAGGTGCATCATAATCCACTTCCTCCAAGACCAGAGATTTTCCTGATGATGAACAATCAGTGCTCTGAACAATCTCTGCAGCCTCCTCTAAACTGTCTGGTGGCACTGAAGGATTTGGAACAATTTCATAATCCCCATTATCTAAAGGTTTTGTATCATCTGACACAGAAATTTCTTTATCCCTGCCAAGCACAAAAGCAATATAGTGAAATAAATCAGCATTTTAAATAATTACCGAGTAACAAAGCTCAAGGCAAATACCTCTCCACAGATGCTGCCTCATCCACAGGTTGATCAGGACTCTCTGTTTTATCAGCCAATAGAGACCCTTCTTGACTTATTGGCTCTGAATATTGCTCCTGCTCTCACACCAGCGATAAACATACATTTATAATGTCTACTGATGAACAGAACTCATTTACAACAAGGAAAATAACAATAACAATATTGGTCTGATTTTCCATTTTATCTATTTCATTACTTATGGGCTTATTTGCCAAATTCATCATGGTCAAGTGTCATAAGCCTATGAATTCAGATATGAGGTCCCAGGCTCAATCTTCAACCTCCATAGATGTCTCAAACAAAACTTATGGCCTTATTTCTAAACAGAGTTTAATCAAGATTTCCAACCAGAGTAATATTATGAAACATATATGAGCACACTTATACATATAGATATACATATTTACTACTATTACTATAAGGCAAAACATAATAAAAATAGTTTTCCAAAATGGAACAGGGGTTCCTCAAAAGAAAATCACTAGTTACATGATCATATTAAAACCTTAATCTGAAATTTATATTCTCCCCTCTGACTTCAGAAGAAAACAGAACTCACAAGAGCCTTAGTTTTCAAGAATTCATAATCCGATTTATGAAGAAAATAACAAACCTGCTGATCTCCATTCGCTTTAGGTCCATTATTGTGTTGCAGCCAACCGTCATTTATGAGCTTAAAAGCTTCATCACGGGACAGAAAAGATGTAAAAAAGAACTGCTAAAATGGAAGGCATGTGTTACAGAATTGCAGCAAATGCACAAAGTAGGCATGGCACTAAAATCCAGGATATTACCTTCTTTCCTCCAGCTATTATTTCTATGGCTGTTGGGAATATTGCGGCTGCTTTTGCTCTTCTAACAGATGTGACCTCATGAAATGGAATTATTTTCTAGATAAAAAGAAAATTTAATTAATAGGCATGCTAATGCATGGATGTAGAGAGAAAAGGAAAGGGAAAGTTAAGATAAGGATACAAGAAAAACAAAATTTAAACTGAGGTTATATTAACCAAAGCAATATTTTTTATTTTATTTTAAAAAAAAACCTATAAAATCCAGTGAGTTATAAGAGAGTAAATTGTATGGAGTGTTTAAACATAGATTATTAAACATCAAACCTTTGTCTCAAATCCAAAAAGGTTGGAGTAAAAGCAAATATTATGCGCAAATAAGTACATGTGGCCCTGCAACAATAAAATAACGGTAAACACAATTCACTTTCAAAGCCTTACTGAAGAATTTAAATGCTCAACCCATGGGAGAAAGTTGACAGAGAACAAGGAAGAGACCATAAATAGATAACTTAGTAACAGGATGATGAAAATCAGGCCATCAGCATTACCTGAAGAAGAAAATTTTCTTGCAATGCACAGTTAAAATCTTGAATAAGAACCTACACAGAATTAAGGAGAGAAATTAAGCTTCAGTCAGTAAGCACATGTAGAACATACATACAGTCTGCTTAAGTTTCCACATTCCAGAATATATTATATAGAACCTACACAATCAACCATATTTCCAAGGAGAGAAAGCAATCTTTGTGCAGTTAGTTCATTTAATATACATCAACAACTGTCATGTATGCAATCCCAGACATAGACACAAAATCATCCTAGGCCAAAGTCCAGCAGAATGTTATGAGTTAGACTATGATTTGCTAGGACTCAAATAGGCAATTTCTTACATTTTTTAGTTGGTAGCAAGCAATTGTAAACCAATATGCTTGAACATCGACAACAAATGGCCAACCTAGATAACTACCAGAGAATTGAAATTGGAATGTTGTTCATCCAAGAATAGTTTATAAAAGATAATAAAGCATTTAAAATAAGGAGAAACACAGTGGGAGGTTTATTGTGAAGATGGATAAATAAGGCTGCTCTATATATTCAGAGCAGTTATGCCTTTTTTGTAAGAAGACTTTACTTTCTTTTCTTTCTTTCTTTTTTTTTTTTATAAGACTTGATTCTTTTATTTTTCATTTTTTTGAGAGGACTTGATTTTGTCACTGCAATTGTAGTACATCATTGACATGACAACTGGAAATGACTAATGACCAGAAGAGCAATGCATTTGTTCACACTGATGCCCTCTAACAATGAATTAAAAATCATAAAAAATAATTTACTCACTTCATCCACTGGAAGACGGAACAGTTGCCGATACTCTTCACTCCTTAATGCCAGGAGAGACTGTTAAAAACAGATGGTCATAGTTAGGCATATCTTTAAGAAGCACAAGTACATTTCAGAGCTGTTAAAATACAGTCCTACCTTCTCTTTGGCTTATTGCCCATTAGAAAGAAACTGAAAACATATCAAAAGCCTTTTTAAAAAAAAAAAAAAAATCTAACAATTAATTCAAAATTAACGTAATTGATATGAAATGAGAAGAGCTTCTGTTTGTAACATTTGTGAATGCATTTGCACCTAAGTTAAAAATTGTAGCAAATATGTACGATCACAAAAATTTCAACATGTAGATGCTCCAAATTCTGTTTTTCCCCCTCCGAACGTGTTTCTAGAACAAATGTATTTCAGAATTCCGCGTTCTGCTCTTCCTGTTGCCTTTCTATTGAACGCGAAGCGTCAACTTTACATAAAACGGATTACCATACACCCTAATTCAAAGTTCCAAATAATTCGAATACACCAAACACGCACGAGCTAAATTGAACCTAATTCAGACGCATAGAGAGAAAGACCGAGAGAAATAGATGCTCCGATCCTGACCTGAGAATCCGAGAGCCTAGCCGAGCTAGAAAGAGAAGAAGAGCGATCGAGGAAGGCGAGATCCGAGGCGTCCGAAGCGACGTCGGAGCGCCTTGAATTGATAGCAGAAAGATAATGCTCCATAAACTGCGCGCGCGGAGGCGACGGAGAGGCCGCCTCCGCAGCCTTGTCGGAAAGCACCGCTGCCATCGGAGGAGGAGGAAGATGAGGAGGGAAAAAGAGTTGACGAAACGGACGAGTAGTCCAAATATGGTAAAACTGAATCGGAAAAAATGACAAAAAGAGCGCTGGTGGCGGTTTGGTTCGATGACTTAAGGTCTAAACTCTAAACCGATTGAGAAGAAAACGTGTCGGTTCGGCTCGATGGAAATCTCGGTTAAAACGTAAACGTGCCGTCGGAGCCGGTAGACGTCGACCGTTCTCGGACTAATGATGTGACGTTGCCATAATTTGACATTTTTCCTCTTTTAAAAAAAAAAAAACATTTTTTTTGTAATAATTCTGTTAGAATGTAATGTATATGTTTATAATTAATGAAGTGATATTTATACATATTTTTAATTAAAATGTGTAATGGTTTAATAATTCACTAATAGTTTATAAGAGTTTATTTAATTTGTTAGGATCAAATTAGAGTGGAATCAAATGAATTTATTTATTATAAATATATTTAAAAAATTGACACACTCAAGGAAAAGACAAAACTATACCTTTTTCTGTGCGTCACTCCACCAATAATTTCCATGATTAGAGTATTAGACTATAAGAGAAACATATATAGAGTTTTTGGGTGGTTTTTTTTTTTTTTTTTTTTTTTTTTTAGGTAGAGGGGAGAGAATGTAAGGTTGAGGGAAGAAAAATGAAGAAAGAAAATCAAATTTGAGTTGTAGGAATTATGATTTTTATAGATCCGACAAAAAAAAATGTAAATATGCACCTGTATTGTGCACTTGGAACGTTATAACATTACTTTTTTATTGTTGGTTACTTTGCTGTTTTTCCTCCCCTTCCCTGTCATTGGTGAACAAAAAAGCTTATGCATCCAAGCAACTATTGTGGTTGTCCTAACTAAAAGAGCTAATGCCACTTACTCCACTTAAATTTTCATCCAGACAACATTATTTGATTTGATACTTTCTTTTATTACACTTGATGGGATTTGCCAATTCATTGGCACTTGATGATTATAAGTAACTTCAAGAGAAAAAACATTAGTTCGACAGTAAAAGTATTATTAAATCAATAAGACATACTTTGTATGTATTAGAAAAAATGGTCAAATAAGTCTCCCAACTTTATATGGAAAAACAATTAAGGCTTTTAACTTTTAAAATTTACAATTAGAAATATAAACTTATCGATTGGATGCAGTTAAACCAATTAGCTGGTTATCTACAAGTAAATAGTAACATGTTAATTTGATAATAGTTATTTTAATTAATGAATTTAAAAATTTTACAAAAATTAATTTAAAAGTTACAATTAAACTAAACATTTCGCCACAAACCTTATATAAGTTGTCATTATCACATCACACATTTTGAAAAAGTCAACCCGTTCTATTGTCTTTTAGAACATCGAAGTCTAACTTCATTGGTTCAAACTAATAAAGTCAAATGAACTTAAATTTAAAATCTTGTTAATTGTCAAACTAATTTGACTTGAGTTGCTCTCAAATTCTTCCTATTATTTTGAGCTAATGGCTTAATGATACACATACATTTTATGGGCCTTATACGGGTGTAAGGAATGTATTTAAGCCTTATTATGGGCTTATAAATTTGGATTTGTATTGTTAGTCTATACATTTGGGCCTTCATCTAACTTAATACAAATGTCCAATGGGCCTAGCCCCACCACCTTATTCCATAATCCAGGTTACAATCACTGTGCTGTGATTTCCTAATTCCTAGCACCATCGAAGCACAAGAATCCATCATTCCATCAAGGCATAGCTGCACAAGGATGTGGATAAGTGATTCTTGTTGATTTAGTTATGTTCCCACTAACCTATTATTAGTGTGATATATAAACTTGAGTTACTTAACTTGTTAACTTTCGAAACTATATTGATTCGATTTACCTCTTCATAAATTTAGAGACAGTTTATGTAGTTCAAGATATAATTCAGTATAGCGAGGAAACATAAATTATCATACAAAATTATATATATCTCTTGGTTAAGAAAGTCTACAATCATTTTGGCTCAAACATAACTATGCATGGTTTTGGGGTTGTATTGACCATTTTAACAAACGAAGGATGTGTTTCATCATTACTCAAGTACTAAATCAAAAGTTGGACATCACATTTATTATATATATATATATATATATATATATATATATATATATATATATTATGTTTATCACGCTCGCATGTGTGTAAATCGTTAGGCTTCGAGCAACTAGTGGACGTAAACTCATGACTTTTTATATGTCTTTGCATTTAATACCAAATTGAAATATATGATATGTCTTAACTAAAATGCTAAATTGACAAATAGATCCCTTTTCTCTTTATTATTTACATATAATATTTTCAGTAATACCTAATGCAAAATGTTCCGATTTCAATCAAAGTTTTATAATTTTTCTAATGTAACATCACTTTTAGGTTCGCATATATATATATATATATATATATATATATATATATATATATATATATATTCTATTTGTTCTGTTCTAACTAATAATAGATCCACAGACGACGTGAGTAGCTAGAAACGGAATTTCTTATTGAAACTTTTCCGTGGCGGCCGTGGGACATGTTTTAAGGGAAGAAACAAGGGAGGCGAGCAGCCGTTGCCTTCTAATAGGCTTATAGATTATAGTATAAAACAACTGAACTTTAATTTCTCTTTCCATGAATCACTGCCAGAATGCGCTTAGGAGTGTCAAAAAGCTAGGAACATATGATATGTGTACAGCAAAAACTTACTATGTTCATACACATACCTACCAATGCCAAATCTGTTTTACCAGGTTCCCTCCAAGGCTTTCAATGAAAAGGTATATATATATATATATATATATATATATATATATATATAGGGTCAGGTCTTCTCGTGCGGTCAGTGCGGCATACACCACTAGGTATGCATAAATACACCACACAGTGTTCGTAAATACACTATATGTGTGGTGTATTTTTTTTTTTTAGTGTATTTTTTGACATTTCATTCTGGTGTATTTTTTAACACTGTATGCATACATAATGGTGTATGCCACACTGACCGCACGGGAAGACTTGACCTCACAGGAACCTGACCCTATATATATATATATATATATATATATATATATATATATATATATATATATATATATATATATATATATATATATATAAAATTATTGTTTCCATCTTTACTTTTGTTTGTTCTGTAATGTTCTTGGTCAAGTGTAGACAAATTCAATATGCTCAAATGACCAAACCAAACCAAAGAAAAAAATAAAGCGAGAAAAGGGATCAATGGATCATGCAAAGAATCCACCATTGTATGCCACTCATTCCCACCAATTTCTCTTTAACCAATTCCAATGCATCAACACTCATACTTTCAAACCTCTCATTTGCCTCTTTTCAAAAAGCAAAGGGGGGAATGAGCCCCACAATAAAGGGTATGCCAACACTTCTTTTTGGAAATGTGAGACTTGTGAGGATTGGAGATATGAATTGAATATTGTAATTCAGCTAATCATTTTAATCACTACTATATGTTTCAGCTTTCATGGGATCGAGAACTTACCCATATTCCCATATTCCCATTGCTGACAATTATGCATTTCTTTTATCATGGGTCAAAAGATTGTTACATTAATGTTTTTTTTAAAATTGTATTTGAATCCCATCTTCCATACTTGTCTTGCGTAATAGGCTCGACCAAGAGAATAATGACAATAAATGAACTTATAATCTCATAATACGAGGATCATGTTCTACTCATTTAATCACTCATTTTTTACGTCTTAACTAACCTATTAGTAATATATGTTAAAGTGTTCAATGTAATGTTAATTTTGATTAAGATGAAATTCGAACTTGAAATTATATAATATAATATTGATGCCATTAGACTAATCAAAGGGAATTGTGAACTTGACAAAGTTAAAACTGATAGATATATTACAAATTTCCCTGAGCAAATCAATCCCATAGAGTGGACCCAACCAAACTTGGGCCAAGGTCAAGTCTTGAGCTTGGCAACTTGGAGGTCCCAAGCTAAGTGCATCTTGGAAGTCCCACTCTAAGTGCACCTCGAAGGTCCCAAGCCAAGTGCACCTTAGAAGTCCCACGCCAAATGCACCTTAGAGGTCAAGCCTCGAGCTCGGCTAAGGTTCAAGGCCAAGCTCTTGGGCTCAACCTCCAATTCGTGGCTTCATGGACGGTTGTAGCACGCGTAGTGGATGCGTTAGACCCAGTTAAGGAAGTCCAAACTACTCGCCCTTCTCTCGAGGGAGCGATTGGGGCACTGCCTGATATAAAATACACTCATCTTTGTCTTATTAAGATATCATCATATCATTCACTTTTTTGTAATAACATTACATAAGTATTAATACAACTTTATCTCCGTGACACCTATTTCCTATCTTTACGTTCATTACCTGACCTTTATGTTTATACATTATCCTTTAGTTATTAGATTATTCAAATCGAATTACCCGAGTCAATATAATCCATGAAAGTCTAATCAAGCGTTTGGTGAGGCTCAGCTGTGTTCCTGGATAGGACGGGGGGAGGCGATGAGTCGTTGAGGCATGTGCCAGAAAAGGGAGTTGTCGTTTCACGACAACAGACGCGAGAAACCAACCAAACAATAAACAAACGACCGACCAGTTTTCGCGTACTGCAAAAATAATAAACCTAACCATGATTGCAGAATTGGCAGAACTACTGCCGCAGGTCTCCGACGTCGTTTTTAGTTTTTACTTGGGGCTCCTAATCAGCATGCACCCTCACAGGCACACGTCTTTTTCCCCTCACCCATTATTGTTCACATGTGGACCACATCAAACTCTTTCTTGTTAACATCACCCTGCACTCATTCTACTACTAATGTACATATACTTTAAAAATACTTTTGCCCTATTTGGTAAAAAAGTTAGCCTATAAGTTAATTTTAACTTATTTAATCATTATTAATTGTTTGACTTAATTAACAAATAAATATAAATGAGTTAATATTCAAAATTGTCCTCGACTATAGTGATTTTTCTCAATTTCGTCCTAAATGACTTTGGTGACTTAATATTGTCCCAGACTTCTGTGTTTTTACTCAATTTAGTCCCAAACTTTTGTGTTTTTGCTCAATTTAGTCTCTCATTTGTTATTTCGTC